ATCTGTAACTTTTAAGTTGTCAAATCTGTAACTTATGAGTTGTCTAATCTATAACTTATGAGCTGTCTAATCTATAACTTATGAGCTGTCTAATCTATAACTTTTAAGTTGTCAAATCTGTAACTTATGAGCTGTCAAATCTGTAACTTATGAGCTGTCAAATCTGTAACTTATGAGCTGTCAAATCTGTAACTTATGAGCTGTCAAATCTGTAACTTATGAGCTGTCACGTCTGTAACTTATGAGCTGTCAAATCTGTAACTTATGAGCTGTCAAATCTGTAACTTATGAGCTATCAAATCTGAAACTTATGAGCTGTCAAATCTGTAACTTATGAGCTGTCTAATCTATAACTTTTAAGTTGTCAAATCTGTAACTTATGAGCTGTCAAATCTGTAACTTATGAGCTGTCAAATTTGTAACTTATGAGCTATCAAATCTGAAACTTATGAGCTGTCAAATCTGTAACTTATGAGATGTCAAATCTGTGATTTTTTCTGCAATGCAAATTACACTGCCATGATGCATATTGCATAACACATAAGTGTGCACCAGAAATTATTTTTTATCCATTATTTCTAATTCTGATTAATTAATCGTTCAGATGAATTCAGAGCTGGGGAACTTATTTACAAACAAATTTAATTATTTTTTTCTTTTTGCATAAATGTTTAGAATTATCAGTCCAATTCGGTCACGTTAGTGGTTTCAACAGAATTTTAGATTAAAAATTATATTTGCGTTGTAATTCTTGCTTTAGGTCTAAATAATAATGAAATTCCTAAATAGATGTCGCACAATTGCGTAAAAGATGTTGTATAATTACAAATAGTTTACAGATAACTAAATTATCCATGATAAATCCTAACACCAAAAGCAGTTTGTTCCAACCTCGTGAAGTCTGAATTGGGGTTTTTAAAAAAAGGGTGTTGGCAACAGGTTTGGGGTTTGGTTATGTGTTTTAAGGGTTTTAAAACAAATATTAAAATTTTTAATTTTTAACATTGAGTCCAAAATGATACAAAATGATACCAAAAATGCTAATTTCAATAATTCTTCGAGTTTTAAATCTAACTCCCCTCACAACAGGATGCTGGATGGTCATTCAAGGTATTGATGGAAACGAGTTAAATTAAGTGACAATCAACAATTGAAATATATGTTTTATAATTCCTAAAATTGGAAATAGTAAAGCGAATTTTGGCAAATTGGTTTTCGTAATTGATGGAGAATGGAAGCATTTGTCAGATAGATCAAAGACTATGTCCTGGAGCCCTAAAATGTATCCAGTAGAAATTCTATGTCTTTACATTCTTTGGAATGTATTATCTATCCAAAGAAATTTTAAAGCATTCAGTCTATATAATCTATGTGTAGGGTTACCCATAAAAGATGACTGTACTGAATATATTCCCTTTCCCCTACATTTATATAAGTTCTCTGCTGCTATGATTTTTATTGAATACACACCGTTAGAAACATTTAGGGTTTTCGAACCGTCATTATTCCTAATCTTGTGTCTGGCCATTAATGAATGATATATCCTAATTTTCTAACTAAAAGAATTGATGATTTTAATTGTGGCATGTCTAAATGTGATTTGAGGAGTTTATCAGTATACATTGAAGGAATTTGACAAAATTAAACACATTTCAAAATTTTGAAAGCAGATAAAGGTTTGAGGGTACCGTTGTAAATCGGATGGTCCTATTTGAATAACGTCTATGCGCCTTTTTTATACAGGGTGTCCCAAAAAAACACGGGAATTCAGTGACGAATTCGATATCGTCTTTGTTATGAATTAGCATTGTAATACCTAATTTCAACAGTGATAATATTATTATGTCTGCAAGAGTTTATTTTATGAAAAGGGTAAACGAATGTGTCTGTAATGTCTCCGCAAGATGAACAGTTAAGATGGACAAGTTTACTAAATCAAAGAATTATTTTATAAGACGAAATTGAATTCGTCACTAAATTCCCATGTTTATTGGGACACCCTGTAACTTCCTATTAAACCTTCACACCATCGAATTCAATATGGTTCAGGTGGACAGAAATTTTTAACTTGGCAACAATTTGCTTAAATCTTCTAAAAACGAACAACAAATTTGAATTTTTGAAGAAAAACCTATAAAATCTTTGAATTAAGTGCTCAAAAGTCTAAATCCATTCCATTTGCCTCCTGTAAAATTTTTTACTTTTTTCTTCCTAGTAAAGAAAAGCTTTAATATACATCTGATTGATTGACATTAATGGTTTAAAAATAAGTTAAAACATTGCTCAAACATTGCTCATAATCCGAACAAATCAACCATTTTTTATCTAAACCCTATTTTTCGACTAAATCTAAAACTCTAAACTTTCTGCCAAATATTAGACGGGATTTGAAAACTATTTGTCTAAAGCAAGGAGATATTGAATAGAAGGAGGGGGCGATAGGGTTTCCGTACACTTTGCTGTGACGTTTTTGGACTTGGTCTAATGTATCACAGTTCAAAAAGAATGGTTTTAAACATTAGTAAATCATAAAAATAAACAAATTTTCAAAAAATCTCGAATCTGACATATCTTCTTAGCATCATACAATTTTTACTATCTATGGTAAGAGGACGGAGGGGGGGGGGGGTTGATTTTTTACATGGAGGGGGTTCAATTTGTTTAACCAATAATCCCGCATCTCTCATAACGTTACATATATTTCAAAATGATACGTACGTTATCTTTATCATGTACAATGCACATCTTTATAATTCATGATTATATAACGTTAAAACTGGCTTGGAAACCCGGCATTGTCTTAATAAACTCCCTGTAAACGTCAACCCAACCTAGATTATTTTTAAATATGAGACAAATCAGTCAAGGGGTTCTGGAGTTATTGATCTAACAAACAAATATTACTTCTTTTTATATTTACTAGGGTTTTAGGGCGCTTCGCGCCCATCTTCTATTTAAGTTGTGAACATGTTCCTTTTGTTTACATTCTAAAACAAAGAAGAAAAAAATTTTGCGGATTTTTAAGAATTTTTTTTTTACAAAATTAAAAACCTTTAAAACACATTTTTAAAATTTTTTTATCATTCATAAACCTTCCCTGTGGTCACGTGATGTGCCACAAAAAATTTGGGCCCGATCGGTTCAGCCGTTTTGACGTTTATTGGATACAAACAAACAAACAGACAAGCCAAATTTATATATTCATATATAGATAGATCAAGGGGGGGGGGATACTTCCCAAGAAATAATAAGGAAATAATTATTTTCTCTGAATACGTCATGCAACCAATTAAAAATAATTACGTATTATATAGTTTTCTTCATTATTTAATAGATTTAGATGAAAGGGGGTAAAGATACCTTTTAAGGAAGAATTTTTCTTTTATGATTTCGAGTTTATTCCTACAGGAAACTACAGACAAACCGTAATCCGTTGATGTCCGTCTACATGTAATATACTATATCGCACTTATCATATTTGTATTGTCTACTATCCTTGAGACTACCTGTATCATTAGACAAAATATAGATAGTTCAAGATTTATTCTGATTAATCGGTACAAGAGAAATAGATTCAGAGAGCTGTAAGTTTGAGAATACTTATAGAGTTTTGGTATTGTTACATACGTACAGGGGTTACATACAAAGGAGCAGACTTGAAAGACTACTTTACGGATCAATTTAGTCCTTTTTCTAAAGTCCAGAATTCCTAACAGGCCAAACCTGTGGCCGAATTTAAAGAATTTGAGCGGCGGTTTAAATTTAAGCCGCGGTTTAAATATGGTTGGTTCCACTTAAAATTGTATCAAATGTTTCAAGATTTAAGCCGGTGCTTAATCTAAACCGGGTTTTTGCGGATTTAAACCGCGGCTCAAATTCTTTAAATTCCATCTCAGGCTTATTTCTTAATCATTTCTTAATCTTAATCATTAATTAAACCATCAAGAAACAAAATTAAGCTTCAATCGTCATATCATAAGTTTTGCGTCGTCTTTACAATCTCATTTGTTATGGGTAACCCAGTACTACAGTTAAGAGTTTGTTTATGTTATGTTAACATCTTTCAGGGTTTTGCATAGAGAATAACAAAACAGACTTTACAGTTTACAGTTAAACACATTTTTACTGGCAGACGTAACTTTATTATGACCATTGAAATTAGGCGAGGCAAAGCTGATTTCGTATGTTTCACTTAAATTTCATGTTTAATGGGACACCCTGTGCCTTAATTGATCATGTTAACAGATAATCATTCTCCCTAAACATTATGTAACCATTACAATGAACAACAGATAATCATTCTCCCTAAACATTATGTAACCATTACAATGAACAAGTTTGTGAGATTGGTTTATTAGAAAATGAACAATTGATCTTTAGTAAATTACATTAACTATTTGGAAAAATACGAAATGACATCAACCATTAACTGGAATATCCCAATTAAGAGAAAGATCTCAGGAATACGATGCATTCGTATAACAAACGTAAATAGAAATATGTGATTGATAGGATTTAGTTCAATCTTAAAGGGAATATAGGCGTAATTTAAAATTACCCTCCATGTCAATTTCATAACAGTCACTTTAAAAGCTTAGTATAATCATTATATCAACGTTTTTCTCATTGAAGATTGATTATTTTTAATTGTAAGTTCTTTATAAAAGTTGCAGATTTTAGCAAGAACAATGGAGGATATTTTTCAGAATCATCCCTGTTTAAGTTTTCAGAATCATCCCTGTTTAAGTTTTCAGAATCATCTCTGTTTAAGTTTTCAGAATCATCTCTGTTTAAGTTTTCAGAATCATCTCTGTTTAAGTTTTCAGAATCATCTCTGTTTAAGTTTTCAGAATCATCTCTGTTTAAGTTTTCAGAATCATCTCTGTTTAAGTTTTCAGAATCATCCCTGTTTAAGTTTTCGTTAAAAGTGACTTACGAATCAAATCAACAGAGAAAAGGAATAAAATAAAGAGAATCTTTATATGACAGATAAAACAGCAAAACGAAGATATCTTTATTATCTTTTATCATTTTATAAATTACTGTCCGATGCTTCAGGTTGAAAATATCTTGACGCGATTCAGAAATTTCTGTTCGATGCTTCAGTTTGAATATAGTTGAAGCTGTTCAGATATTACTATTCGATGCTTCAGGTTGAATAGTTGATGCTGCCACTGTACTGCCTGGAGTAGAAGTAGATGTTGAAATACTAGGAGACAGTGATTGTAATGACCCTGGAGATTCTACTCCTAAACAAAATTAACAAAAAGTTTTAAACAAATAACATGATTAACTTGAGCATTATTTTTTTATATAGACGTGTGAAGGAAAAAAATAAAATTTGGTACAAAAATCAAGATTTTCTCAAGAAATATCTATCCTGTCAACACTTAGTATTCATGAAAATGCTAATGGTAAAGACAATAACTATTATTTAATTTGATAATTATAGTTATGTCAACATAACAGACGGATAACATAAAAATAACGATAACAATACCAATGCCAGTGACAGTAATATGGCAGTAGAAGTGACGGGGTGACAGTGACGGTGACAAACAAACATAACGATAACGACAGTGATAATTTTAACAATGAAAATAATAAAACCTATCATAATATGAAAAACAATGACAAAAATATCAATACCTGAAATTAATGATCCGGTCCAAGAAGTCCCACTGAAAAGAGAATATGTGGGCGGATCACTACCAACTGAGAGGGCGGGGCTAGAGAACATGGATGGTAGGTGGGCGGGACTTGAGGGGAGTTGGGCGGGACTGGAGGGAGAATTGGACGGGTTTATGGAACGTGAGAGGGTCCCAAATAAAGATTGGTTCGATTGATCTGTGGTAGAGGGCCAACCAAGACCCAGACCTTCAAAAATAACAAAAAATTGAGAAAAATATATCTGTTTTGTTTTATCTTGGATTTTTGGGTGATCAGTTTCCAAACCTTTTCTACTTCAGATTATAAAAGCATTTCGAAGATTTGTCTTATTCTTCGCGAGTTACCAAAGATTTATAATATAAGTCGACATCAAATTTTCTGAGTACTTCCTTATGGGCTGGATTAGTTAAGTCGTTTTTTTTTGTTTATGATTAGGTTGTTAGTTTACACCTTGGATACGAATCATAAGAATAAACAATAGTATTACAAGATTTACGAAAAAATATTATCATACCAACGCTAAAACTACGCAGTATTAAAAACTAAAAACCAATAAAATCCGGTTTACAAATCTTTTAGTAAGATTCATCTTTCAAATATAATTTCATTGTTATCTTTTTCACCATGAATATTGGATAAAAAAATCTGAATAAATTAAATCACAGAATCAGAGACGATCATTGATAACAATTGTTTGAATAAAATAAAATTTTAAATACGCATTTCACTTGTTGACGTCATATTTGAAGGAAATCCATCTTTACTGTGGTCGAAATTTGAAAAAAAAGATTTTGAGCGCAAAGTCGACGTTCAAAATCATGAATTTGGGTGGGTACGTTTTCAGAATTTTTTTTTTTTTAATATTATTAAGTAACGACAACGAAAAAAATAGTAAAAGTTCTATAGTGAACTAATAAGATGTTTAGGAACATATTTCTTGAAAGAATTTAGTCAATAAATCGAAGTTAGATATAATTATTTCCTTTTTCATGAATATATTGAATTTCTTATTTTCTATGAATTTGTTCGCAAATTTCTTTAAATTCTTCAAATGTCGTCTTTTTAATAAAAATTCCAGAAAATATTTGTGATTAAAGAGAGATTATAGAAACTAATAATTGAATAAGATTACTTATTTTCGATGATTAAGAGTTAATTTTTTTTTCTCAACCTTTTCCTAAACAACTAAATAGTTTACTGTAGAATTTTGTTTACATTTTTTGTCGTCGTTATTTAACAATTAAAAAAAAAAAATTCTGAAAACGTATCCACCCAAAAGTACGATTTTGAACGTCGACTTTGCGCTCAAACTTAGGATTTACAGATCTTTAAAAAGTTCCTAAAGAATTTGTCCACAACACTGCATACTCAGTTGAACTACCTTACAAAGCCGGTCTGTCCCTTTAAAACATTCTTTAAATAGTGAATATTATCAAATTGTCTTTTTTCCATCTCATGATCCGACTTCGTTTCCCTTTAGTACATTTGAAGGCCCAATATTTTTTAAATAATCTTTTTTGTTTGTTTATTTTCTTAAATAAAATCGATTTTGATAGTTATTATATCGTAAGAACTGACGATGGTCAACCCAGACCGAAATATATTTTCAATAAAATCTGGAACTAACATCTACTTTTTTACTCTACAGAAGTTTGGTCCATCACCATCACCGAATCTTAAATCCATTTCACTTAATAAGTTTATTTCCAACCTACAGGTAAACCAATTTAATTAAAAAAAAAGATCAAACACGTAACATTAATTATTAGTCGTCTTCCTAATCCCCAGTTTTAAGGGCTCCCACTAGCTGTAACATCGTATTCTAAATACCTTGCATACTAGAGTATAGACTCGATGTTGAATCCATATTTGTTGATTTGTACTCCATGAACCCAGACTTGTACTCAATAGCACCTGATCAGTGATCATTAGAATAAATAGATATAGAGTATGTGTGTACTCGAGTTTAAGCAATACTATTTAGTTTGAACTACTGACTTTTTTAACTATTGACTTGTTGAACTATTTATCGTTTGAACTATTGCACGCGGGTATCACGTGTAGTAGTTCAAACGACCAATAGTTCAAACGATAACATTCTGAGCGCATTTTTTGCTCCTAACTTAACCTAATCCTGAAATAATACAAAATAAATATTTTTTTTTGAAAATAGTTAAAATTTAGGCCATATACAAAATTAATAGACTAAAAATCGAATACCCAATAGTTCAAATGAGCAAAACAATAGTTCAAATAAGCCAAAAAAATAGTTTAAATGAGGCAAAAATATTTCAAATGAGCCAAATAATACTTCAAATGGGCAAAAAAACATAGTTCGAATGAGCGAAAAATGAATCAAATGAACAAAAATATATTTAGTTCAAATAAGCTAAAACATAATTTCTGCATGATTTAAACTATCTTTTTGATTCATTTGAAAATATTTTTTTTGCTCATTTGAACTATTTGTTTGCTTATTTGAACTATTTTTTTGCTCATTTAAACTAATTTTTTGCTCATTTGATCTATCTTTTAGATCATCTAAACTACTTTTTTCTGACTTGAACTATTAAATGCTTCATTTGAACTATTTTTTGGTCATTTTAATCATTATTGTCCATATGTGAAATATTTTTTGGTCATGTAACTATTTGTGATGATTGTTTAACAGACCTTTATTTTTTCATGAAATAAAAAATTTTTTTATTTTAAATAATTCAAACGGCGGTAGTTCAAATGCGGATTCACCATTAATTAAACTGTACACTTAGCAGAATAATCAGACGCAAAGGGGAGGGGGTTCCAGCTAGTCCAGACAGGAAGGGGGAAGGGGTGGGGTGTTGGGGGAGGATGAAGACTCTATATATTTCTATAACCTGATCTATCAAGGGACTGGCCCAAGGGAGGAAACTTTTCTTCTAGTCTATCAAAGCTGTAAACTTGGGCCAGGGGTCCCTGTCCGAGTGGACCTTGGGCCAAGGGTCCCTGTCCGAATGGACCTGGTGCTACCCCTTGTCCCAGAGAACTATGCCCGAATCCAACTTGTCCCAGAAGGCCTTGTCCACCTGGTGGAGGTTCAGGTTGACGACCCGTAACTCCGAGTCCAAATCCTTGTTGAAAAGCGCCCGAGTTGTATGTGAAGGATGGACCACCTATCTGTGACGGACCCCCTGGTGATGAGCCCACAGGCTGTGATGGACCAAGTACGGAATGACTTGATTTATCAGGATCTAAAACATTGTCAGCGTAAATATTTAAACTATTATTGAAACTTGTTATAATGATACTGTAGATGTAATTTCAAGTCACACTTGATTTCATTGATGGATCTAGAATGAAGATATGTGTTTTCTCTTGGAATATTGATTATTTTTAATTGTGTTGTCTCTACAAAAACATTAAAACAAATATTTTTTTTGGGGCGGCCTCTAAGCCATTAACCCTTATAAAACCTGTCAATCCATTTTTTTTGTAAATTAAATCCCTTAGATTTGTTAAGTTCTGGAGGGTTTTAAAAGCTTAATAAAATCAATTTTTCCAATAGAAATATAATTAAAGATAGATCTTAAATTAAAACTTAAGAGGAAAGATTTTGATTTAGCTGTTCACCAATTTTCATAAATGCTTTATAGGAAAAAATAAAAATAGACATATTTTGATAAATTCTTCATGTTGAATCGTTTTAGAAAATTGTTTCTTATGATGTAAAATTTCTCCAACAACTTGTTTACGATTAAAATAGTGTTGATGGGTTGTCTGCTAATAATAACAATATGGAAAATTGAAGCTAGTAAATTTCTAAAAATAAAAATAAAATTAAGAGAATCAGAATATTTTTTTCATCCTCCGAAACTCAAAAAGGAAAACTTCATTAAAATAAAAGAATTTGCGCATTTATCTAAAAACTAGGCCTCCAAGAATCTAGTAAAAAAAAACATTCCATTTTTTTTGCAGATTTAAATTACTAATTTTTAGGAAGTGTGACAAAAGCATTTTCAGTAAACAAAAATCGGGGTGTATAATTTACTTCGACACAGTTCTAAAATTCTATAAATCACCACGTGCATCTATTTCAAATTAAGTTTTCCAAACCTTTTAAATTATGAACTTGCGTACATTATATAAGAAAATTTCCGTAGAATAGTGGAATTTAAAGTTTTGATACCAAGAGAGAGAGAGAGAGAAAAGTTTAACTATTATGTTATGTATTCAACGATATTTTAAAACTTTACAAAATTACGAAAGTTTGGTTGAGAAGTAAATTATAACGTTATCTATATCAAGAGGGATAATGGTTGACTGCAGTTGTTTATTCATCAAAACCTAAGTTGGATATTTATCGTTCTTTTTGTTCATTTTTCAAACATTTATAAATCTGAGCATACTCTCTATTTACATAAATACTTGGAAAAATATCTTTAAAAATATTTGATTTTCTAACTAAAAAATTATCAATTACCGATCGTGGTTTCTTCATCAGAGTAGCTTATAAGTTTTGTGAAGAAGAACGTAATTTTCAAATAATTTTTAAGAAAAAAAAACACATTTTCTAAATACAGATTTGAATCCAACATTGTCTTAAGATTACTATCCGAATTCTAAAAACTGTCTGCAAACTAATGAAATATCAATGACAGTTAACGTTTGGTTTTAAACCATATTTAAGACGGATCAATGTTACTCTCTACCTGGAGAGGATTGATGATCCCAGGTTAGTCCTGATCCTATCCTAGAGGTAGTGGATGTTAGAGGATTGATCCCGGATACAGATAAGTCAGTTTTTACAATATTCTTCCCCAGCTTATCCTCAGTCTTAGGACTCGACAACTTCGGTGGCCTGAAAGAAAAGTGAAGTTGTTATTTTCTTTTTATAAAGAAGACATTTCGAAAAATGCTTCAACTCAGAATTGATTATGGAAAAGTTGGCAGCGTTTTCCTCCCCTCGAGCATCCTTGAAATCATCTCTGGATTTTACGGTAGACCGAAACATCTCACATCATCCCACAGAACTCAGCAGCATTTAATTATTTAAGTTTTGCTTTACGCTTGGAACTGGTTTATGTTGGAGTTAGCTCTTTCCATTTTATTACCTAGAATGATCATCAGATTTTAGACTTTCTTTACAAATTTGATATTGTGGAGTTTATTCAAACAATTAGGAACAAAAAGACTTTTGGCAAAGATTTGAAGATCTGTTAAAAATGTTTGATCTTTTAAATTATTTGTTTCGAGAATTTAATTTTTTTCTTCTCTTTTGTAGAATGTCCTTGTAATGCTTTAAAAACTAAAAATTGGACAAACATCATGATTCATGGACTTTTTTATATTCTACTTTTCAAATAAGTTTTAGAGCACTACTTAATACTCGCTGACGTTAAATATTTTGTAAAAATTCCTACGGATCAAGGATTCCTTCCACACTTCGAAAAAATTGTTGAGCAACATTTGAACCACAATTTTTTGACAAAATAAAGAACCTGTCAAATCTTTCGTTGGGATGTTTAGAAAGATGAAAATTTCCCTGTATGATAATTGAAGGACTGCAGTATGGTTTTGGTGAATTATATTGGCGTACAAAGCCTAGGGGTGTCAGAGATGATTTTTTTGTTGCATTTTTTTAACAACTTCTATAAAACTTTTAAAGTTTAATTTTTGATAAAACTTTTTGTTCTGGATGATTGCAAATATCTATCTAAAACTTTCTTAAACCGGCATATTTTTTCTATATTCATTTAGTTAAGAGTTTGAGTCAAAATAAGTATTAATAAATATTGCTTTATATCGAGTAGATATCCTTAAACATACCGATGTAAAACCTTTCAGAAAGTAGGAAAGATTCTGCAAAAAAAAGTTGCCAAATCAAACAGAATTTTCATTTTGAACAAAAATATTTAGAACTTAAAGAAGCTTTTCTGGGTTACACTTTACTCTAGTTTTGCATTATTTTCATTTGTGTAAAACAGTATAAAAGACATTATGTTGATGGTTTAAAACTAAACAGCTGATGATTAATTGGAGGGAGGAATGGCAAAAACACCAATTTGTAAGTTGAAAATCTTTTAATGGAAAGTGATTGTAACAGGGAATACAGAGTGCTTTAGGGTACAGGGTACTACAATGTACTGCAAAGTACTGGGAGGAGGGGGTACAGAAACCAAACAGAACTTTTTATTTTTAATAAAAAAATATAAGTAAGCACTTCTAAGGATGTTTTCTTTATAGTTTTGCACTATTTTCATGGACAAAAAAGCTAGTTTGATATTATCAGCAGACCACTTAATGGAGGGAAGGATGGCAACAATGCCAATTTGTAATCCCCATATCTGCAGGGTACTGTTGGGTACTGTTGGGTACTGCGGGGTACTTTGGGGTATTGTGGGGTGCTGTGGGGAACTGTGGGGTACTATGGGGGTACTGTGGGGTACTGTGGGGTACTGTGGCTACTGCAGGGTACTGGAGGTACTGGAGGTATTGGAGGTACTGTGGGGTACTGGGGGGTACAGGGGTACTTGGGAGTAAATAGGGTAGTTGTGGATACTCTGGGGTACTGTAGGGTGCTGTGTGAACTGCTGGTTACTCCTGGTTACTTTTGGGTACTGGGTGGTACTGGGGTGCACTAAAGTGCACTAGGGGTACTGTGGAGTACTGCGGGGTACTGCGGGGTACTGCTGGGCACTGCTGGACACTGCTGGGTTCTGCCAGGTACTGCATGGTACTACTGGGTACTCGGGGGG